CCAGTCTGGTGTAGGGAAAGATAGAGCTGGGATTGTGGATGTACCAACTGTGCCCATTAATAGCTGTGTGACCCTAGGCACCTCACTTAAGTTATCTGCACTTAAATTATCTGTAAATTAACGATGTAGAGCTAGATTCTCTGGGCCCCAGTTTCCTCACAAGAAAATTGTTAAATTAATAATGCAGAGCTGGATGGCTTCAAGTGCTCTTTCTAGTCCGGAGGTTTTGTGTGTCCAACCATCTTTTAAATCCCAGTCACCAAAGCAATTTCTCTCAAAGTGATCCTGGGCCGACCTGTGGCTCACTCGGTAGAGTGCGGTGCTGATAACACCAAGGCCACGGGTTCGGATCCCATATAGGGATGGCCGGTTTGCTCACTGGCTGAGCGTGGTGCTGACAACACCAAGTCGAGGGTTAAGATCCCCTTACCGGTCATCTTTTTAAAAAAAAAAAAAAAAAAAAAAATTTCTGGCTTCATTACTTTCTCTTGTGTTACCTAGGGCAAGTCATTTAAGCTCTCTGTGCTTTGGTTTCATCTTTACATTGGTGATAATAATCGCATCTATCTTATAGGGTTGTTGGACAGTTACAGAAGATAACGTATAAGAAGTCTTCACATACATCCTGGCACATAGTGAATGATTAAAATTATGTGGCCATTATTGCTTTATCATCAGCAGCAGCAGCAGCTCAAAACAAAATGGTTAAGATTTTTTGCATTAAGTTTCATCAAAGATATTGGTGAATAGTTTCCTTATTTTGTGATGTCTGTGTGGCTTTGATATCAGAACAATACTGGCTTCATAAACTGAGTTTGGAAGTGTTCCCTCCTCTTCAATTTTTTGGAAGTTTGAAAAGGAGTGTTGTTAATTCTTCTTTAAATATTTGGTAGAATTCACCAATGAAGCCCTCTAGTTCTGGGCATTTCGTTGTTGTTTTGGGGAGATTTTTGATTACTGATTCAATCTCCATGTTAGTTATAGGTCTGCTCAGACTTTCTATTTCTTCCAGATGCAGTCTTGGTAGGTTTATGTTTCTAGGAATTTATTCATTTCTTCTAGGTTATCTAGTTATTGGCATATCATTGTTCATAGTAGTCTCTTAAGATCCTTTTTATTTCTGTGAAATTAGTTGTAATGTTTCTACTTTTATTTCTGATTTTACTTATTTGAGCCCTCTCTCTCTCCCTCTCTCTCTTTTTTTAACTTATCTAGGTATGTGTTTATTGATATTGTTCATCTGTTCCAAAAAACCAACTCTTAATTTCATTGCTTTTTTTTCTATTGACTTTCTATTTTGTTTATTTCTGTCTTTGCTCTAGTCTGCTATTTCCTTCCTTCTGCTGATTTTGGGCTTAGTTTGTTCTTCTTTTTCTAGTTCCTTAAGGTGTGAAGTTAAGTTGTTTATTTGAGATCTTTCTTATTTTGTTTTGTTTTTGACACTTGGCTGTTATAGGGATCCAAACCCATGACCTTGATGTTATAAGTCTGTGCTGTAAGCAACTCAGCTAACCAGCCATCCTTTCTTCTTTTTTAATGTAGACATTTGTCACTGTGAACTTCTTTCTTAGTACTGCTTTTGCTGCATCCCACAAGTTTGGTATGTTGTATTTTCATTTTTGTTTGTCTGGAGACACTTTCTAATTTCCTTTTTGATTTCTTCTTTGACCCAATGGTTGCCCACCTTTTCAAGAACAAGTTGTAGGAGTCGCCCTTACATCTCTTCTTTCCCAATCCTCTCAACCTGTCCGTCAGCACATTCCATTGGTTCTAGGTCCAAAACACATCTTGAATGTGTTTATGATGCTCCACCTCCATTGTCCTCACCCTAGGTTGGTCACCATTATCTCCTGCCCAGATTACTCTCACCTTAAACTACAACTCCCATTTGTACCTAGAATTCACAGAGAATGAGAGCCAGAGCTCTCTTTCTAAAATCTAAATCTAATTATGTCTTCCTCCCTCCCCCCAATTTAAAACCCTCCAATGTCTTCCTATGGCTCTTAGGACAAAGTCTAAACTCCCACATGCTCCACAAAGCCCAGCACGATCTATTCCCTGCCCAGCCCCACAGAAACATCTCACACTGGTCGGTCTCCCCCTTGCTCACTCTCTTCTAGCCACATCGGCCCCCAGTTTGCTCTTGGAGTGGTCCAGGGCCTCTGCAGCATTTATCTTCCCTCCTCTCTTGGGGATGTTCTTCCTCACATCTTCACATGGCTCCCTTCTCATTTTTGAGTCTCAGTTCAAATGTCACTGCTTCTTTCTGGGTTGCTTTTTCTCAGCACCCTGCTTATTGTCTTAGTGTATTCATATCACCTTCTATCTTCTTCATTTGCTCATTCCTCTATATTACATATTTCCGTTTCCTTCCAGCAGGTCAGTGACTTTGCCTGTCTCATTCGTCACTGTATCTCCCAGTGCTCAGCACTGTGACCAGTCCATACTAAATATCCAATAAATGCCTCTTGAATGAATGAAAACATGAGTATAGAAAGACATGAATGGGGGCCGGCCTGTGGCTCACTCGGCAGAGTGCGGTGCTGATAACACCAAGGCCACGGGTTCGGATCCTATATAGGGATGGCCGGTTCGCTCACTGGGTGAGCGTGGTGTGGACAACACCAAGTCAAGGGTTAAGATCCCCTTACCAGTCATCTTTAAAAAAAAAAAAAAAAAAGAAAGACATGAATGAATGGTATTTATTCCTGCTAATCTCCCATTATGCTAGATCCAGCCCTGTACATAAATCTCCTGATCCCTTCTATACCCATTCCACTACAATTCTGGTGTATGTTGAGATAGGGTGTCCCGATGAGAGACTCAACCCATGAGAAGGGGTTGTGAACCTGAAAGCACCAGAGATTTATCTTATAATTCTTGCTAACAAGTCTCTTGAGGTCAGACAGGAGGGGCGTTGGCAACGCTGGGACAGCTGGTTCTACTCTACAGCCCTTTTCAGAGGAATGAGTCCTGGGGAACAGGAAGAGAGCCATCAGCCTCTACAGATAAATCCACCACAAGTTCATGGTGGGGTGGTTGAGGGGCTGCAGCATCTTTTACCTGCACCTGGAGGAGAACATCTTGGTGTTTTGAGGGTGCTGTTCTCTTGGGCCAGCCTGGGGAAATCAGTGGAAGGTGGAAGGCTGTCTCAGGACAGGGCGGCTGCCTACAGAGGGACTTCGTTTGGTGGCTCAGAAGTTCTCATGTAAAGGTTTTCCATCTGCTTCTCCTGTTAGAGGATAAGAAGGAGGCACAAAGTGACTTAGCTAGACTCCTGCAGGTCAAGAAAAGGTCCACAGGCCCCTTGTTTTACTATCAAATGAATGTTAAACATGATTCCCCTTATTACCAAACCAATACTCTTTTTCACAGGGGGATACATTAACCAAACCTTAAATCCTCCACCCTTCATGATAGCTTAAACAATTAATGAAACAATGAATGTTCAACAAAGAACCAAATGTAAACAGTTTATTTTAATCAAAATCCCCCAGGGCCCTCTCTCAGATGCTTTCTACTTAACATATGCAAAGTAATACACAGTTGCTAACCCTTAATAAACAACTTAGGCAAACTGATGACCCTAAAGGCCATGCTAACCAGCTAGACTTTCCCCTAGTCTCTCCCTGGGAAGAGAGGAACCGTGTGTGCTGGGCGCCACTGCAGCAAGCTCTAACCAGATAGGTCACAGCCATTTACTTACATAGAACAGGCAGAAAGCTTAGCAGTTCCTGAATTTTACCTTATTTTCCTGTTCTTATTTTTTGTTTTCGTTATTGCGCTTGGCATTTCCAGGATGCTTCAACCATAATTGACATTGGTTACATAATCACATCCAAAATTTTGTAGTTCCTCTTCATTTATTATACGTGCCTCCTACAACTTGTATGTTTTTATGTATCCTTTGAAGTTCCCTTGGCAAATAAAATTAAGTTACAATTCGTATAAATCGTTAAACATATATCAGGGGAAAGAGTACTCTTGAGGCATTCTTAAGAATGTTCTACAAACAAATATAGTGGGTCGGATAGTGTCCCCCCCCCCATTCTTGTCCATCTGGAATCTCAGAATGTGACCTTATTTGGAAATAAGGTCTTTGCTGAGGTAATTGGTTCAGATGAGGTCATATTGGATTAGGGTGGGCACTAAATTCGAAGACTGGTATTCTTATGAGAAGAGGACACATAAAGATACACACAGAGTGAAGAAGGCTATGTGACAATGGAGGCAGAGATTGGAATGATGCAGATGCAAACCGAGGAAACCTATGGATTGCTGCAGCCACCAGAAGCTGGGAAGAAACAAGGAAGATTTCATCCCCGGAGCCTTTGGAGGGAGCACGGCCCTGCCAAGACCTTGATTTTGGACTTCTAACCTCCAGAACCATGAGAAAATAAATTTCTGTTGTTTTAAGCCACTCAGTTTGCGGCAATTGTTGCAGCAGCCTCTGGAAACTAATGCATACCATCTTCTATAGAGTAAAAGCTATCTTCACATTGCTCATTCATTCATGTGTTCATTTATTCAGCTGTCATTTTTGTGTGCCTATGTGTGGGGCACTGAATGAGGCCTGGAGAGCACATGGATTACAGTTACAGTTTTTGTCCTCAGTGTCCTTAGCAGACACACATTAGTGTCATGACTTCACAGTGTGTGACCTGTGTGGTTGCACATGACCTGGGGCTTAGGAAGTCCCCGTGCTTGGTTTTAATGTTCTGCTGTTGTTGTCTTGAAAGTCTTGATTTTTGAACAAGGCACTAGTCATTTATATTCCCACTGGGCCCCACAAATTATGTGGTTGGTCCTCACTAGAATGATTACAGAATCACTATATTGGAGAGCCCACAACCTGAGGGGATGTTTCACTAAGGCAATGAGGCAGCATAAATTTCTTAAAGAAGTTTGTTCATAGGCAAGGTTTATTTGCCAGATGGTCATTCAGACAGAGGACATGACTGTGCATAAGCATGGACGGGGGTGGGGGGTGATGAGAGGATATGTGTGATTGGATAACTAAGTGGAGTTTGGTAGTGCTAGCACCTCAGGTACCCCTAGGGGGTGCTCAGGGAGAATTGACAGACAGACGTGAGTTTGATTCAGAAAAGCTTTCTGACAATGCAGGAGGCCTTCAACTTAGTCCAGAAGGTGATGGGGAGACATGGGTGCCATTGGTCACAGGTGACAAGGTCAGATCCCCCACTCAGTTCCTCCAGATTTCCAGTCGAGCCACCCTGTGCTCAGAGACCCAGGCCACACAGACCAGGTCACCCACCTGCACACTGGGAAAGGATTTAGAGGAAACAGGAAACATTGAGCCTCTTCTAGCATTCATAGCTTTTTTCATTAGAACTAATAAATTATATGAATAGCTCTATCATCACCTTGATTTTAGATTTCCAACCTCAAGAGCTGTAAGAGAATAAATTCATGTTGTTTTAAGCCACCAAGTTTGTGGCAATTTTTATAGCAACAATAAGAAACTAATACAGATCTTCAACAAATATTTGAACTTGTTCTTTTTAAAGTTCTATTTTTGTGTATGCTTAGAATGAGCATAATATAGTAATACAATAATGTGTGTGTATGTAGTCTTTTTGTTTGTTTTGTTTTGGTGGCTGGCAGGTATGGGGATCTGAACCCTTGACCATGGTGTTATAACACTGCACTCTAAGCAACTGAGTATACGGTTTAAAAATTGGTGAATATACATATATTTCAATCCTCATGATGGATGTGTGCATGTTCAAAAATTTTTAGACTTCTGAGATAAAGAGTAACAGAAGTCCAGATATAATAGTCTTAATAACTCAATGTAATTATTAATATAATTATATAAATTAATTGTAATAAATAAAAATTCTAGGTGTGACTCTACAGATACTCAGTAATCACAAAAGAAAGAGAATATTGTTGTCAAGCATCTGGCAGTATTTTCTGTACACTTGATGATTGCCTTACCGTAGCTTAGAAAAGTAAAAATTTAAAAATACAAAAATCTCTGTCCTAGTCTGTTCAGTTGTCTAACAGGTTGTAGGGCGTGCACCTAGACCTATAATCCTTTCATGCTTTCATTGCACACATTTCCATTAAAAATCTATTTTAATTTACACCCAAAGATATTATAGTTATTCTGAAATATTGTTAATACCAAACGCATTGTACCAGGGATTACTAAACAGAGTTAAGAATTAGGTTTTTTTTTCCTGGCAAAGTTTATCATATTTTCATCCAAGTTCATTGCCTTGTGTATGTTAAGGAAAATATTGTGAAAACAGTCATATGCATAGAAATTATTCTGTAACTTTAAAATCATTTTATTTGGTTTTTTATTTATATTTTTTGGTGACTTGCCAGTATGTGGATCTGAACCCATGACCTTGGTGTTATAACACTGTGCTCCAACCAACTGAGCCAGAACCTTTTTTTTTTTTTTTGTAAAATAGTTTTAGACTTAAAAAGAAAGTAGACAATATTTATCCAGACTAGAAGTAAAAGATAGTACTAAAAATAAGCATAAATAAATTTATAATGTTTAGTGTAAGAAAGTCACTGTTATAAGTACCCTATATATCTATAACTCATTTAACCATAGCAACAACCCTGGAAAAAGTTACCCCCATTATTCCCATTTCATAGATGAGAAAATGAAAGCTCTGGAAAGTTAAAGGATTTGCCCCAGATCACCGCTGGGATGAGACAGAGCTAGAATTGCACCCTGGTAGCCTGGCTCTGTAGCTTATGCTCTTAACCATTGCACTATGCTGCATAGCAAATTAACAGAAATGAATGATGGTGTAATCTACTATTTGAGTTTTGGATTGTACCTCAAAATATGTCCAGTTTAGAGATTATCTCCATTTGTGGTCTTACATTCAGTAAATGCACACACATATTTATATAATAAACAAATATAGATAAACAGGCTGTCTGTGGCCTGTTAGCAGATGAGATCATTATTTAGGATTCCTATCTTTCAAACTAGTTTGAGTCTAAATTTCTCCTGCAAAAATCAATAAAACCAGTGTTATATAATAGTAAGTTTTGTACGATTAGAGATTTGGGCTTGTTTTTCACTGTTTTCATCATTAACTGTCATTTGTATTTAAAGCACACAGTGGATTCCCACAGTAACATTTTATCTGTACAGATTCACTTAAAAACTGGCTTCAGGAAATAAATGAATGAAAAGAAGTGGACAGATACTTCCTACTAAATTATTTTTTACATTGATTTCTTGGATTCAGAGACCCTCCAAGGGTCATAAATGGCCCAGGGGAAAGAAAGTCAGAAAAATAGATGAGCTGTATGGAAAGTCATCCTTATTTTTGTGTGCCAATTTCAGGGAAAATATAAGGAGCTTAGAGTGGTCATATTAGGGGGTGAAGTTCCTGACCAAGGTTCTAACACTGACTACATTACAGAAATGACCATCAACACCAAATATGAGTATAATCAGAGTAAACTTCCTAATATGCATGTCTGATCAATTCATGTTCCTGCCAAACATCCTTCAGTGACTGCCCATTATTTATAGAATAAAGTTAAAATTCTTTGGCATTGTGTTAGAGGCTTTTTGTGCTGTCTCTCTTATCTCATATCTAGCCCCTCTCCAAAAGCACCCTGTGCTTCAGCCATGGGAAACGACCTCTGCACCATGTCACGCCCATTCCTGCCTCCACATCACGCACCTGCTGCTGCCTCTGTCCAGGCAGCACACACACTTCTTTTTGCCACCCTTTAAAATTTGGCTCCAATGCCAGCACCTCCACTCAGATGTCTTCCTGGGCTGCCTCCTCTTCTCCCTGATTTTAGCTCAAGTTCAGAGCTTGCTCCTTTATAGGCCCACGATATGAGTACAGCTTGTCCGTAACTCCCTTATAATACTACGCTACTATAAATATTTGTTTACAGGTCTGTCTTTCCATCAGACTGAACTGCTTGCAGAGCCATGACTTCTTTCTTTTCCTCTGAAACCCCTGCCCTTGACAGATAGGAGCAGTCTGAATCTGCTATTTTGTCAGTTCTTCTCAGCTCCTTTCTAGCTCTGAAAGTCTGGATTCTGTATTTAAGCATTCATGTCACTGAAGACCAGGGACAACTACTACTGGTATTACACTGCATGGATGATTTAAGAGATTTCCAAAATTAATTTCTGTCTACACCTAAGAGTTAGGAGCACACTTAATTGCCTGACTCCTGCAAAAGACAGAACCCCATTGTGATTATTTTACATCTGTTATATACACTTTAGAAAACTTTTCAGTGTTAAAACAATGCTATGTCTTAGTAAAGTCCAATTTTAAATTCATTAGGGGAGCTGGCTATTTTATAAAGAAAATGAACACTAGCATAAATGTATCTTTTGTGAAAAACAGACTGTTATATGTCGGATTTGTTTTAATAAGGGATCTGTTATGGTTAAAAGATGGAACTGGGGTTAATGTTTGTAAATAAGATAATCTCAAGAAGAAACAAACTAGAATCTTTTTACACTGATGTTGACAGTTAACACCATTTATGTATTTAAACCAAGGTGGCATCCATTTATTTGATTTAGTATTGCCTCTTAGGAAGAGAATTGCTTGAGCCAAATGTATGTGAATCAAATATCAAACATTTCTTGATATGGGTCACCCAAGTCAATATTTTATAGAGCAACAATTCTTGGGAAGAAAGCACTCTTATTTCAGTTATTCAACAGGATTTCATAATGAAGCTAAACCAGGAATGAAGTGACTGAATCTGCTGAAAGTGGTTTCTAGTTTGAATCAGCTCTCTTTTCTCTGTGATGGCCCGTGGCTCACTCGGGAGAGTGCGGTGCTGATAACACCAAGGCCACGGGTTCGGATCCCATATA